ACCACCTTTCTACTTTCTATGATTTTGACTACTTTAGATACTTCCTCTTTGCGGATAGAGGTGTATATCAGATCATTTAACTTATTTCTCATTATTTCCTATTTTATAATATAAAGTTATAAATATAAGGGCCATATCTGTCTAGTGCATTTCTTAGATATCTGAATTCAGACTGTGAATTCTCATTTCTTCTGACAACCATTCTCGCGTTTTCAGCTATATCCTCTCCAGTAGAACAGAAGAAGAAATCTTTATCAATTTTTATTGTTCTAGTAGTCTTTGCTAGAAAAAACTGATTTGATGTTATGGGACTGTTTTGGAAATAGAGTTGTATTGCTATATCAAAAGAGATGCACAGTGTTATTAACTTAAGCGCTAGTAGCCTTTTCAAAGAAAACAGATATGTGTTAGAACATGAGTGGTTGCCTCTTAATATGTACTAGGGATTGAAAGATAACCCTTTCTAACTTCATCAAAAAACAAGTTGATGGTAATTTTTAGTTTGTTTTTTGTGAGCCTGATAAGATGTTTCAAGGTTTAGAATGACTGAGTAATTTTGGTTATGTCAAGTGTAGTAATAAAATCCTCTTATGATTTATCCAAACAGGAAATTAATATGTTCAACACTTAAAAGATTCTTGTAAAAGTACTAAAAACATTGGGGGAGATAGAGTCTGAAGGGAGCCAGGATCAAATGCGTTCTTAATAGTCTGCACAATCTTCAGAAAAACTGAACATGTAATACATATTGTTAGGCCCAGGAAGGGCAGGTAGGGCTTGGTGTGTAGATTAGTCAGGTGTTTCCTGAAGCCAGTGCCGCCTGGAAGGGGAAAGAACAGGAAATATAAATAGTAAAAAAAAGAATTATCCACAATATTTAGAAAAAGTGTTGAAAATTATAACCCACACTTGCATACCGATTTTTTAATGATGTGGCATGCTAAGTAATTTCAGTAGTGAACATTTACTGATTATAGTGTGCCAGACATTGATCTGAATGCCCATTAGCTCATATATCTTTTCAACCCTATAAAACTGTGCTTCTCAGGATAGTAACCACTAGTCATGTATTTAATTTACATTTAAATCAGTTAAAATAGAATAAAGTTACAAATTTAGTTCCTTAGTTGCTCTAGCCACATATCAAGTGCTTAATAGCCATATGGGGCTGGTGGCTACCATTTGGTCAGTATAGAGTAGAACATTTCCATAGTCATAGAAAGTTCTATTGGGCAATGCTGCTCTAAGATGTGCACTATTAGCTAACTCTTGTTTACAGATAAAGAAACTGAGACCCAGACAGG